AATAGAAACTAGCCAGGCATGGTGGCATGTAACTTAAAGCATCCCAGCTTAAAATTAAAAGTTCTGGCTACACAGAAAGCTGAGGATCACTGAAGCCCAGAAGATCAAGGCTGCAGTCAGCTACAATCACACCACTGCACTCCAGCCTGGGTGATTAAAGACTCTGTCTCTAAAAAAAGAAAAAAAGAAACTTAACTGCCAATGCTAATATTAAGACATGAGCAGTTTATGAGGTGATTAAATCACAAGGGCAGAATCTTGATGGGCAGAACGGGATTAGGGACCTCATAAAAGAGATGGAGAGTGAAATAAGCCAGGCATGGAAAGAAAAACATCATGTGTTCTCACTTATTTGTGTGATCTAAAAATCAAAACAATTGAGCTAATGAACATAGCGAGTAGAAGGATGGTTACCAGAAGCTGGGAAGGGTAGCAATGGGGGGACTGTGGGAGAGGTAGGGATGGTTAATGGGCACACACACAAAAAATAGAAAGAATGACTAAAACCTACTATTTGATAGAACAACAGGATAGCTATATAGTCAATAATAACAATTACACATGTTAAAATAACTAAGAGTGTAATTGGATTGCTTGTAACACAAAGGCTAAATGCTTAAGGGGATGGATATACCATTCTCCATGATATGATTACTTCACATTGCATGCCTATATCAAAACATCTCATGTACCTCATATATATATATATATATATACACACACACACACACACACACACACACACACACACACACACACACATATACACTATGTGCCCACAAAAATTAAAAATTTTCTTAAAATAAGGGCTTGGAGGAAGCTAGCTCAGCCCTCTTGCCCCTCCATTTTTTCATCATGTGAGGACACAGCAAGAAGGCCCTCACCAGACAATTAATGCTTGTGCTTTGATCTTGAACTTCCCAGCTGCTAGAACTATAAAAATAAATTTCCAATGTTTATAAATTACTCAGTCTCAGGTATTTTGTTATAGCAGCATAATGAATTAAGATATATAAATTTAGAATATGCATCTGTAATCCTGGCACTTTAAGGAGGCCAAAGCAGAGGACTGCTTGTGGCTAAGAGTTAAGACTAGCCTGGATAATATAGCAAGACTCCATCTCTACTAAAATTTTTATAAACAGCTGGGCATGGTAACCCATGTCTGTAGTCCTAGCTTCTTGGGAAGCCAAGGTAGGGGGACTGCTTGAGCCCAGGAGTTCAAGATTACAGTGAGCTATGATCTTACCACTGCACTCCAGCCTGGGAGACAGAGTGAGACCCTGTCTCTAAAAAACTGTTTAATAAAAAATTAAAATATGGATATACATATATGTATTTACACACACACAAACATATTCTAGCTGTGGCCACTGAATAGGCTTAGAAGTAATGACACAGCAGTTGTAATAAGCACATCATATACCCAGTTCTTGATTTCCAAATACCATTCATTCCTCATTAATAGTAAGAAAAGGAGGGGTGGGCCATACAAAATGAGCCCAGAGCATCTTGTTGCACCAGAAAAGTACTCAAAGAATTGTGGAGGCGGCCAGGCATGGTAGCTCAGACCTGTAATCCCAGCACTTTGGGTGGCCGAGGCGGGCGGATCACGAGGTCAGGAGATCGAGACTATCCTGGCCAACATGGTGAAACCCTGTCTCTACTAAAAATACAAAAATTAGCTGGACATGGTGGCGCACACCTGTAATCCCAGCTACTCAGGAGGCTGAGGCAGGAGAATTGCTTGAACCCAGGAGGCGGAGGTTGCAGTGAGCTGAGATTGCACCACTGCACTCCAGTCTG